CGTTTTCCGTCCTGCCGAGGTTGAAGAAATGCCAGATCAGCGAGATGAGAATCTGGTCCGGATTGTTAGTCCTCCCGAGATCGAAGATGACGTCGTTTGACGTCTCACATAAACAGGAACACAAGCCCTACGCTAATATTAGCCCGACGAAACCAGGCCACCAAAGTCCAAATCAAGCGGAACGCGTGGAGTTTCAGCTCTGGTAAAAAAGTAACTAAAAAGTAGTGTAACTCATTACATTTCAGAGACAGTAATATTGTAATGTAACTTATTACTTTCAAAAGACTTATTTTCAATAAGTAATATGTAATATATTACATTTTGGAAGTAACTTGCCCAACACTGTCAGTAATACAGAGTATATTCAAACAATATAGTATCCCGCCCTTGACACCCATAGTTCTTTTATTTTTGTATTTAAGTTTTTCTATTCTTATCGTTTTTAAACAATTGTTGTGTTCTCTGCATGGGAAAATGGACGTGTGGTGTGAGTTTGTGTGACTTGGCAGCCCTGCCACATGAATGAGCGCAAATGCTCTCTCTTGCAACATTAATAAGAGTGAGACATCATTTGTGTAAATGCCCTGTGATTCTGTTCAGCTCCAAAGTAGTTTGATTATTGGACCATGATAGATAGTTACCTTATTCTGTTAAAAGATAAATAGATAAACCATCAGATAATCAAACCAAACCAAAAGTATAGGGCAAGATAATCATTTTTGATCCTTTATTTTAATTGTCATGTTACGCATATTGCAAAACAAAGATTACAAATAACACAACAAATTAGTTTTGGACTAAAAAGTTGAAAACAGACACGATGAATATACACAACTAAAGAATAAGCCTAAAGCTGCCTTCACATGCTAGGAAATGTTTTCAATAGACACAGCGGGATGGGGGGTGCAGAGCCTTGCAGTGATGGCAGCTAGCATGTTTGGTTTCTTTGGTTACCTCCTCTGCTTGAATGTGCTGCTTCTGGACATGTCAAATACAGCTGTTATCGCCTCGCGGCCCGTCCACACGGCGGCATGCGTTGAAGCTTCAACGCTTCTGCCCATTCTATTTGAATGGGGTGACGTCACACTTTGCCGAACTGCTTCGCGTTGCTCGCTTCAAAAGTTGAACAATGTTCAACTTTTGAAGCTTCGACGGAAGCGTCAGCCAATCAAATTATATGCCAGTACAAGCTCTAGCCGATCAAACTGCGTGCTTGTGTGTCCGGGGCAGGAGATTCATGTGATTGGTTGTTGGTCGAGCTTCAGACACACCCGCCCAGCAAGCTTCAACGCATGCTGCCGTGTGGACGCTGCGTTAGTTTCGCATGGAGTTAAGCAGCAATCAGTTTAAAATAATTTGAAATCTAAGTGAAAGGATTTGTGCCAATCCCAATGGGTGCCAAGAGCAGCAATTCCTGCAGCACAGTCTCACTCCCTATACGTCCAATAGCGACGCTTTGTCAGGGTCCTTTGGCGTGCAGTTGTGACGCGCCAAGTCTCCTTCAGCTTCATAAACTGACGCGAAGAGCTTTCAACTGATTGCAATGTATTCCTATCGGCGGCGGTATTTGACGCTCAGGGAAGCACCGCATCAGTCCATGTCGGCGGCAGTTAAAGGCAATGTGAGCGTCCATTCGGAAGTAAGCATTCTCCTTACTGTCGATTGATTTTATAGTGATATCTGCACTACTCATCAACTCAAAAACACCAGATTATCCTTGTTAATTACACAACATTGATTGGTTTAAATTGTGTACAATTATTTTGTATTTTTCCCCTTCAATTTGGAGAAACAAATATTTTTTCCGAGTTTAGGATGGCAGAATTGACATTTGGGACTACACCATGTGCTTTTCTTGACAAACCCTGTGATTAGTCCTCAAGCTCTGTGATTGGATGTTGGAGTGGCAGTGCGGGAAGTTTACGCCGAGCGTCAAAAAGCACTCTGAAATGGAATGAAACCCATCGACAGCACACTATCCAAAACAGGACTCGAACGTGCCACGCGATAAAACAGATACACAGAAAAAATAGTGCAAGTAAATACTGATCCGCGAGCTGCATGATACTGTCAGGAGAGGGAGAGAGCGCTCCGTTTATTATTCCTGTGTTATTGTAAATGACTGTACACTTTTGAATAGTTAATCTACTATAATTAGTTTGTTTAATATCGAATCATATCAATTTGTTTTAAAGCTCAATAAATAACAAAGAAGACCTTTGACCGGCACTTTTCAAATTTAGTCCGGAAGATTTAAACTTTAACGGACATGTTGACCGGCGAAAAAATATTCTAATGGGAACTCTGCTGTAGATACCCCCAAAGCTTTATGCTTAGATGTATTTAAAAGAAGACCTTAACCTAAAGTATTATTTAATGTTTGAACCTGTTTAGCCCTGAGCCTGTTTTTCAGGTCTCAGGCTCGAAAATGACATTCCCAGAACAAATGACCATATCTTCCCTTCTAAAAGGGTTAAATTAATAATCTTTTTTCTCAAAGTAATGATAAATCTGTGAGTTGGATGTAGAAAAGTCAGAATCAATATAGATGTTTTTATTTTAAAGAAAATTCAGATGGTAAAAAACTGTAAATTATAGTGTCCGTCCAAAAATTTGTTTTTACTTATAGTGAAAACTACCCTTGGATGATGGTAAGGTAGACTAAAAGCTTTAGGAATACAAAGTACAACATATAATAAGTACCCTGTATCAAGATTGATGCAAAACAAGTGACATTTGACCTTGTTAAGAGAGGTTTAGCAAAAAAAACTCCACCTCTGAGGTGATTTGGGTGGAAATGGGGGTTTTACCGTTTTCCTGGAACCCATTGGTCGATTTTGGTGATTGACATCTCTTTTTGACCGTTAGAGCCAATATAATCGAAGGGGAATCTCCCCACTCACACACATGGTAAAACAAAAAGGTGTGGGTTTTGCGCAAACAGTTTTACATCAGAGTGATGTAAAACTAGCTCTGACATCTGGAAACGGAAAAGCAGGTTTATTGTTTATGGATTATCATAAATCATTTCAAAGGGACACAGACACATTGGATTAACCTATGGATTAACTTCAGCAGCGTTTTTATCGTTTTAATGCCATTGAAGACCACTTTTGACCAGACTACGACACAGGTAAACCATGTTAGCGTTTTTAGCTACCTAGCGCCACATGTTTTGATGTCTGTTATTGTTTATAAAGTTGAGAGTTCAAATCATTGAGTGATAATGTCTGTACCCATCGATTCTGTGTCATCTCACGATCAGATCGATGGGTTGGATGTGCAGAATGGATAAATAATAAGGTTTTGTGAGTACATTTCGGTGCAGTAATCTGTTAGCATTGTTTGCTCATTGCTAATTCAGAGGCTCAGCGTTAGCATTGTGGGTTTTTTAAAAAAAAAAAAAAAAAAAATTATCAGTGGGATGAGTTTCTTCCCGTTACATGGATATAAAACATTCAAAGTTTATTAAATGAACATGCCCTCAGACACTGTTTCCTGCAAGATGTTGTGGGAGGGCCTACCGGGGTCTCTCGAGCTTAACAGGTTTAATAAAGCCTAATTAGTTTGTCTGTTTTGCACACCCTCATATTAATATATTTGGACGTCCTACACTAAATTGTTTTATTGTAGAGATCACTACAGTATCTTCATGATATTTTCTATTCTATATTTCTATCATTGACCTTCTACGTTCCCCCTATAGAACAGACCTTAGGCAAGGCAAGTTTATTTATACAGCACCTTTCAACACAAGGCAATTCAAAGTGCTCTACAAAAATGAAAGACATTAAGAAAAAAGCATTTTAAAACAGTCATTAAAAAGCAACACAATCTATCTGCATCGTAATGACTCTAAACGTGTAATAACATGCTTTAACCAGTAGGTGGTTTCGGTTAAAAAAAACTGTCAAGTTTACAGTGTTAACAAAATAAAATATACTGCTGTTTCTGGTTTAGTTTACGACGCATATATTTTGTTATTGTTTTGATATTTGTAACACAAAAGCGATGGAAAAAACCCACAGCAACACAGACAAGATGGTCTTAACCAATTACCAATTACCAATTACATGACCCAGCGGTCTAGTTAATAAAAAACAATAATATCAAAACAAATTATTACTACTAACTTTATTGTGAAATTAAAACAGAACGGTAAAAGAATAGTTTCCGGTCTATTCTGAGGCCAGATCTCTGTAGATAAATAAAGAACTACGACAGATGTGTAATATTTAATGCAGCCGAACCATTTATTACAATGCATTCATGTGATGACTTTCAAAGAATAAAGCAAGCACTGCTGAATAAAGTATGATTTTATCTTTTACGAAACGTTTTTTTTCATATGGAATGCAGTTGGAGGTCAACCAATCACAGAGCTTGAGGACTAATCACGGGGTTTGTCGAGCAAAGCGGAACGATAGCTGAGGATTCTGGGTAGTGTAGTGTCTTCGGCAATCCTAAACTGAGTAGTGATATCACTGTAAAATCAATCGACAGTAAGGAGAAGACTTACTTCCGGGTGTAAAATCCTCCGTTATCCAATGGGAATGGACGCTCACATTGCCTTTAACTGCTGCCGACATGGACCGATGCGGTGCTTCCCTGAGCGTCAAATACCGGCGGCGGGTACTGTAGGCTAGGGAAGGCTAAGCCTTCCAAATATTTGTGTAAAAAAAGTTAAAAAAAGTGATTTAGCCTTCCCAAACCTGAGCCTCACGCGCCGCCTATACCGATGCCGCCGCCGATACCGATGCCGCCGCCGATGGGAATACATTGCAATCAGTTGAAAGCTCTTCGCGTCCGTTTATGAAGCTGAAGGAGACTCGGCGCGTCACAACTGCACGCCTAAGATAAGATAACGGATGGAGCTTTATTATTTCCCATGGGGAAATTCAGTTATACCCTGACCAAGCGTTGCTATTGGACGATCAGGGAGTTGAATCAACACAGTTGGAGACTGTGTTGATTCCTGCCCCTTCTTACAATAGACAGCAAAGCAACAGCAAAGCCAGGGGCAAAGCGGTTTTAGTGCTGATCATGTAAAGGCAGCTTGAGTGAAACTCAAGTTGAATATGACCAGAAAAAAAAGTTAAAACTAAAAAAATGGTATTTCAATAATCAAGGACTTATTGAACATGTACAATACAATGACATGCAGATATAGAATCAACCCTATATATAGTATGCAGGGGTTGAGTACAACAGATAGGGGTTGAGTTTACGTTCTGCTGAAGCAAAACTGCTGTTCTCATGGGCCTGACGGCGGTAGTACCTGCGGAGGGCGGGACTGCCGGGATGGCATTGTCTCACATGATGGAAGTACTCCTCAGGGCGGCTTGAGGTGTACCCACAATCCTCACACACAAAGATCTTTGAGCGTCTCTGGCGGTAGGCATACTGTTGTTGAACGGCGTGAATCTTCCTCATATGGGACTCCAGAGAGCAACGCTGTGTGAAGGCTTTCTCACATAGTTCACACTTGTAGGGACGGATACCTACAGCAGGGGAGACAGAGAGGGTTTTTTCTGCATTAGTGCATATTTGTGTATAGGAATGTATACCTTCAGATTGGCATCAGTGTCTGTTATGTGACAAATCTTGCATGCAAACATCGGAGTCAGCAATGAAAACGCTAACAGTGTCAACCAGGGGGGGAGGATACAGTGTGAGGTGCAGACCTGGGCCATTACCTAGCCAGTGGGGCACCCAAACACACAAAACATGAACCTGTGGTTATTTTAGTTGACCTATTCTCATATATTCGTATTTATTAGGAGCTACAGTACAAAATGTTTTGGCAAGAGAGGATCATCAAAAATAATAATAGTTAATTTTATTTTAGTAGTTGAAAGAGAGGTTAAAATAGTGAAACATCAAATTCAACTGTAATGCTACTCACTGACACTCCTAAACAAATGAATGTAAAGGATTTTGTGGGCACATAGTCTAAAAGATCAGAATTCCCACCACTATTTTGATCTGAGTTAGACTGCAGCCTAACTTATGCAGCCTTTGCATTCATGGACTGAACATCCACTAGGCATACATTACCTTAAAGCCAAAAATACAAAACTGCAATACTTTAGTAAATGTTTATACATGTTTTCAAGAGTTTTGTATGAACTGAGCTGTATTATGTTATCTGTTGTGTTGAGCTAATTATGTGGTTTTGCCAGGTGATGCGTATAGCATCTATATTAATATAGAATCTATATTAATATAGAATATATATATTTTTTTTTATTTGTATTGATAATGAAATTTGAAGAAGCATATTGGGGAACATTTAAAATCATTAGTTATAAAATGTGTGTGATAAAATGTTTTACGATGTCTAAAGTTACTGATAAGTCACGTGTTTCCTGCTTGGGGCGCATACATCTTTGCCCATTGACTCTCGTTATAAGTGGTGCATGTGCAGTCCGTACCTCTTCAATGCAACAGATAGGAGCAGCTCGGGGCGCACCAAACTGCACCCAAAGCAACTGTTTGACACGGCCAACAACTAGGGGGCAGCAGAAGCACCAGAGTGAGTGATTGACGTTTGAATGAGAAATAGTTAGACGGAGACGGAGCGTAAACAAAACTAGATAGAGAATATGGAGAAGGAAAATGATGTTTAATCACTTAAAGAAACACCCTTTGAGAAGAGGACACTGGAGGGAAATCCGAGAGTAAAAGAGCTCGGACCTGATCAGCCTGACCTAGGCAGGAGTTAAGGACAGAGGAAGGCAGTATACGTGCTCTTTTTCAAGGACCTGGTTTAGCAAGAAGGCACAGATGTGAGTGACTTAAAGCACATATCAGGAAGAAACTACAAAGCATGAACAAACTAGTGTCCACATGGAAGATGCTATGCGACTAGCCATATTTAGTAAACACTGCTGTCCAATGAAGGCTACAGGATAGGGATCAGTAAGTATAATAAGGAGGTTGACAAAAACAGGCACGTCCTTTCTAAAATAATAGAATGTATCAAGTGCTGTGTGCCTTTGAGCTAGACCTGCATTGTAGCAGGACAGGGGGAAAAGTAAACACACTCCTACAGATTCCCTGAGAAAAAGGGGAGTGGCTAATCAAGCTACCCCTGAGAGAAGCTGGAGGAAACCAATCAAGGAAATGATTGGCACCTGTGTGCTGTTAAAAGGAGTACAGCAAGTCATTCAACAGAAAGAAGGCTTGTTTGAGACAAGCGAGACCTGCGCAGATGCGATCAACGTCTTGCTAGTGCGTTGCATGATGGTTAGTCATTTTGTCCGACTTACTCTGGAGGCTCGCCTACATGAGACGTTGAAATCTCGCGGGACAAAGACGCCCGCAGCCTTGAGAGCGAGGCGCGGCGAGGCGGCGCAGTTGCTCTCCACGGGCTGCGGAAGCGAAATGCTTGATGGGAAAGGACTCGCTGGTATCTCGAGCTGAGCGCTCATTGGTGGTTTTTACCACGTGCTGGTGATGAAACTCTCCAATTGGCTGGCAAAAGTTTGTTGTTGTTTTGTGTCAGTTTTACGTCGCCACATCCATTCCCATTTTTTATCATTGTTCCACAATATTTATCATCATGGAATTAATATCTATATATTTTATACTATACTTGCACTGCTTACCGTTTTCATACTTTATATATCTTAGCATATTCATACACACTGTTCATACTGCTCTCAGGCTGCTGTGTATATCTAGTGTATTCATACCCCTCACTGTTTATTCATCATTCAATTCATTCTATATTGTATTCTGTAGATTGTGTACATTACTTTTCACTTCACTGCTTGTTGCACCTGGTTAGAAGCTAAACTGCATTTCGTTGTCTCAGTACCTGTAATATGTGCAATAACAATAAAGTTGAATCTAATCTTGAGCAGGAACAAATGTATTTACTTAGTACATATCTGACATTAACGATTAAACACATGTGTGCATTCTTTATAAATGCAAACCGAGTCAAGCCGACTCCGGAGGTGGCGGTATGCACCTTAAAGTTGTTTGCAATCCGCCAAAAAACCGAGAAGAAGAAGAAGAAGAAGAAGAAGAAGAAGAAGCCGACTCCGAGCTGTCCGACTTCAGGCGAGCTTTTTGAGACCTCCCCCGGCTGCGATCGGCTATTCTCGTCTACTTTCGAGGCGAGCCGCAACGCGTCTCAAACAAGCCTAGAGAGAAAGAACCAAGAGGAAGTCGGATCTAGCAAGGAAGAAAGTGGATTTTTATGGACTTCATCAGAGAAATCAGGCTAATTTATATGACATATGTTTTGAGTTTGTGTATAAGTTTGCTTACATTTTGGTACATTGGGAGCCCCCCTGGAGAAAAATGCACCACTGGTTTCTGTTTGTATTTCCTTTATAAAATAGTCTCTCAATTGTAGATATCTAAAAAAGTCATTATTTTCCAATCCGTATTTCTCTTTCAAATCCACAAAACTCAACATACTTCCACATCGCTGTGATCCCTTTTGTCTCCCACTTTTTAAAGTTTTGACCACCTAGGTTTGGTTTAAACCTATTGTCATAAGCAAACCAGCTCAATATGTTTACTTCCCTTTCTAGTTTGTACTGTTTAATGAAGTCAAACCAAATATTCAGAGGATGGAGACTTATTGGATCCATTGAGTCCTGTAGTGCCTTAAATGTTTCAATATCACCAATTAGAGACTGGATTGGGATGCCGGAAACCTTCATCTCAATTTCTTTCCACTTTGCACTACAGTCCTTATCGCACCACTTAATTACTGAACCTAGTTGATTTGGTCGTGCCATACCCCCCTTTTCCTTGGCCAATTGTAATGTACACAATTTAATTTGCGGTTTCTTACCATTCCATATACATCTAGAGATCATCTTATCCCAAATGTGAAACTTTTCTATGAGAATCTTAATTGGAAGTGATTTGAAGAAATATAGCAGTCTAGGGAATATGTTCATTTTAATTACTTCAATTCTTGAGCTTAGGTCTAGTGTCAAGGTTGTCCATCTCTTAATGTCTTTTTCAATCTGTGAGTGGATCTTGTTATCATTTATTTGATAGAGATGAGTCAGTTGTTTTGTTAGCGTCACACCAAGATAATTTATAGATTTGAGTCCCATTTTATTTGGAAGTTGCTCTTCATACCTTGAGTATTGTTACTTTTTTTAACAGGGCATTAAGTGCAAATTGAAATTGTTTACAAAATATATTAAAAGATTATACAGATAATACAAAATAGGACCAATGTTGTCAATGGCTGCCTACTCCACTCTCCCCCATCTCATAGAAGTTTCCAAAGATTTTCATAATCATGCTTTTTGGTCTAAATGTGTACGTCTCTTGTTTTCGGATTGTTAGCTAAGCGATGGCTTTGAAGCCAAGTTTTGACATATACAGTGGGACAAAAAAGTATTTAGTCAGCCACCAATTGTGCAAGTCTCAAAGATGAGAGAGGCCTGTAATTTTCATCCTAGGTACACTTGAGAGACAGAATGGGGGGAAAGAATCCAGGAAATCACATTGTAGGATTTTTAATGAATTAATTGGTAAATTCCTCGGTAAAATAAGTATTTGGTCACCGACAGACAAACAAGATTTCTGGCTCTCACAGACCTGTAACTTCTTCTTTAAGAGCCTCCTCTGTCCTCCACTTGTTAACTGTATTAATGGCACCTGTTTGAACTCGTTATCAGTATAAAAGACACCTGTCCACAACCTCAAACAGTCACACTCCAAACTCCACTATGGCCAAGACCAAAGAGCTGTCAAAGGACACCAGAAACAAAATTGTAGACCTGCACCAGGCTGGGAAGACTGAATCTGCAATAGGTAAGCAGCTTGGTGTGAAGAAATCAACTGTGGGAGCAATTATTAGAAAATGGAAGACATACAAGACCACTGATAATCTCCCTCGATCTGGGGCTCCACGCAAGATCTCACCCCGTGGGGTCAAAATGATCACAAGAAGAGACGGTTAGCAAAAATCCCAGAACCACACGGGGGGACCTAGTCAATGACCTGCAGAGAGCTGGGACCAAAGTAACAAAGGCTACCATCAGTAACACACTACGCCGCTAGGGACTCAAATCCTGCAGTGCCAGACGTGTCCCCCTGCTTAAGCCAGTACATGTCCAGGCCCGTCTGAAGTTTGCTAGAGAGCATTTAGATGATCCAGAAGAGGATTGGGAGAATGTCATATGGTCAGATGAAACCAAAATAGAACTTTTTTGGTAAAAACTCAACTAGACGTGTTTGGAGGAGAAAGAATGCTGAGTTGCATCCAAAGAACACCATACCTACTGTGAAACATGGGGGTGGAAACATCATGCTTTGGGGCTGTTTTTCTGCAAAGGGACCAGGACGACTGATCCGTGTAAAGGAAAGAATGAATGGGGCCATGTATCGTGAGATTTTGAGTGACAACCTCCTTCCATCAGCAAGGGCATTGAAGATGAAACGTGGCTGGGTCTTTCAGCATGACAATGATCCCAAACACACCGCCCGGGGAACGAAGGAGTAAAATGTTCATCTGACT